AACAGTAGATGATTTAAATGATTAGATAAATTTGTTTGCATAAAAATAATATTGAAATATTAAACATGGCTGCATACCATCAGATTTAGATAGGATGCTATCGCCTTCCTCATTGTCAGATGCAACATGGTTTATGGCAAAACCAGATTATGTGCTTCTTTCTGCCAAATTAACTTTGTATGCCCTAATTGCAACATCCAAGACATTTCCTAATTATAATATGTTTATTCTAAACACACATATCAAATTTGATTAGATGTTCTCACATGTCAGTTTGTATTTGCAAGTTAAAGTTGAATTGGCGTAAATGATATAAAAATATTTATAAATAAAATATGATTAGCTTCAACTCAGTTTTAAGTATAAATATGATTTGTTTAATCTAAATTAATGCTACTCACATAGTTTTTCCTAATTAACATAAATCAAGCTTATAGTCTTCTCTTTTTTTATAATATAAAACCCTGTAGTTGTTTCTTTACAACCGTAGTTCCGATTAGCGTGCTTTTCACGTCTATGTGTTCGTAATAACGTGTAGAACATCTTTATAACCTTTTTACTTGTTGTTTCATATGTTTGGTGTACTATTCTAATTTAGTTCTATTGTTTGCTTCGTGTATGATTGCATGGATGCTTATGTGGTGCTTTATGATCATGTCCAGTCGGTGAGAAGTTCGTTGGTGAAATAGAAGAAGTCTTTTGGAGATTACAATTCAGTAGGAGAAGGATCTGAGTTTAAGGCAAGTATAGCATGGGATCATCCTTGTTACCTATTCACTTTAATAATCAATCCATATTTGCATGTGTCACCTTGATAAGGATTTTCTAGAATTGTACTTATGCCTTGACTCCTATGGGATATGCATTGGGTAGCTTTGCTAGTGCTCAATTAAACCATGATCTTGTAACTTGACTAATGGTATATGCAATAAACATTAAAACATGACTTTTTAGCAACTTGGAAAAAGGGGATGGAGTGTTTAGCTACTTTCTAAATGCTTCAGATTCCTCTTCCTAAGGATTTATCTATAAGCGAACATCTGGGACTTACAGTACAGCTATGAGGGTTACATGGTTCTGGTTTTAGCTCAGTATGAGGACATTTTCTAGCTTGTTAGTGGTTACCTTTATGGCGTAAGAATGACTTGACGAATCGGGTATAGTGTGGTCTCTGTCCCCTTGAGTATAGGCTACGCGTCATTGTGCCATCGGAAAGAGGGGCCCTATATCTGTTTACCGAGTGAATCTAATGGCTCTAACTTGTTAGACGAACCTTTGAAAGACTTCATAGTGAACCATGTCTACTCACCTTGGAAGTGTTTTGAGAGTTATAAATCCAGGCATATGGGTATCACGACTCACAGTGAAAGTGTACAACCTCTATAGAGTGTAAAACTGGTATATCAGCCGTGCTCACGGTCACGAGCGGCCTTGGACCCTTATGGAATAGAAGATAACTATTAATTATTTGTTTATGCTATTCATTAATCATGTTTACACTGATCATGTGTTTACTATGAGATTATAACAACTTGATGCTATTCATATGCTAAAATTGTGACAACTAATTGTTAAACTTGTGTCAAGCCTTTGAGCCTCATGAACCCCATGTTACACTTGTTGAGTATGACATGTGCTCACCCTTCCTATTTCCCCACACCTCCAGACTTTAGAAAAGTTGCTCCGAAGATTGATGGAGTTACGGATGAGTTATTAGAAGACTGATATAAGTGCTAGGCATATGATACCCCCAGTCAGTCGTTCCTGTGAAAGACGGAGCCTGAAGATTAGCTACCGTTCCGTGATACTCTGATGTAAGTATTAAATATGAGTATATTTTCGTTATATAATAAAGCATTGTCTCTTGATACTATTGTAATTTGTCGGCTTATGTGTGTGACTGATCTCTGGGCGCACATAAGATTATGCATCCCATTTTATCCTTAAAATCGGGTGTGACATAAAATAATATTAAAATTCCTATAGTATTAAAAGTTTTCTCTACTAAAAGTTACTTCTAATTTTAGTATTATTTTAAAAGTTTTAATAGTAGTATTATAGAAGTAACTTTTCTCTATTATTAATACTATAATACTATAATTCTATAATACTTTTAATAGTAGTATTATAGTATTAGAACTTTTAATAATAGTGTTGTAGTATTAAAAGTTTTAATAATAATGTTATAGTATTAATAACATAGAAAAGTAACTTCTATAATAATGGGGATTTTGCACGTACTCCTGGACACGTGGCGATTAAGTAATGGGGATGGACGAGATCGACCTGCAAATCGATTGTTTAAGGACTAAATTGGACGCTTTGAAAGTTCAGACACCAAAGTGAGCCCTAGGCAATAGTTGAGGAACGAAAATTGCTATTTTGGCAAAATAATACTAAAATTAGAAGTAGCTTTTAATAGAGGAAACTTTTAATACTATAGGTAACTTTTAATATTATTATATTTGGATATGGACGACATTGTTCGCCAAGTTTATGGACCTGCAGTGATTACCTTGAAAGTTTAGGGACCGGGATGACATCGCCGGCCAAGTTTAGGGACCTACGGTGATTGCCCTGAAAGTTCAGGGACCTGGATGACACCATCTGGCAAGTTCAGGGATCCATAGATATCACTTTAAAAGTTTAGGGACCTGGATGACACCGCCGACCAAGTTCAGGGACCGGCCGTGAATTTTGCTTTTTATTTTAATAACCTATGAAGCATGGAAAAAAGTTTAGTTAATAAACCACACAGGCACATGGCAACGACAACTCATTTTAAACTATATTAGCATTCCATGATAATCAATTTCATAAATAGTTATTTTAATTAAGTTTATACATTTGAATTGAATCGTTGTGTCATAACAATATTGGTAATTTACTTTTAAGCACTCCATGATATATAAAAACAATATTACACATATATAATCCTATGATATGATAAATCCAACAAATTCAGTGCCAGGGTTGAAAGCATGAAAGCCCCTAATTCAGTTTTGTCGATTAATGATGACATAATAATTGTGACCAACGTGTGTTTTACAGAGACATTATTATACTACCTAAAAGTAGCTGCTTGTGAAAAAACAGTTTTTGATTTCCACCTATTTAGTTGGCTTTTGACTTTTTAGAAGGAAAAACGGCTACCAAAAGCCTAACTAAAGACACCCTTATATAATGTCAATAGATTATTTGGTTTCTACAATTGCTTCAGAAGTCTTTTTCTGGATCTTGGCGGGGAATAATCAGGCTGGGCAATCGGTTTAAACCGGCGCTTTGGTTCGGTTTATTTGGTTCCTCAGAATTTCTATTTTCAAGAATGAGAAGCCGATCAGTTAATCGGAGAATGCAAAACCGACCATTTCGGTTTTGGTTTTTTACGTTGGTCTTTCAGTTTAAACCGAGAAAACCGAGCCTACCTCCACTGCCTCGCAATCGCTCGCATTCGCGACGTGCAGAACTCCGCCTCGAGCAGTGGATGCGCCGCCGGCGCCACCTTCCACTCGTGCAGCACCGCCACCGCCGCCTGCTCGCATCAGCGACACGTCGTGAGGCAACCGCATGGCGCAGCCACTGAGCATGCCTCCGCGGCTCCTCTTTATGCCGGGCCCGGGCCGCTACAGCTCGCAGCAGTTGCGTCTCTGCGCCTCCCCTCGCCCGCTGCCGCTTCCACGCTCTGCCAGACCGCCTCCCAGTCACGTCGCCGGGTTTTAGGGTTTCGGATGGGGAGTCACCGAGTCAGGTGGGAGAGAGAGGGACTCGGATCTGAGATGGGGTGAGGGAGAGGGAGACTGGAGAGGGAGTCGGACAGGAGAGGCCTCAGGCCTGCCTAGAGCGGTGCGTTGTGGGCCTTGGTGGGCTGCATCCAAGATTGGGGAAGTGGAGATTGTTGCTAACTTTGGTTCCGCGGTTGTTCGGTTCCACTCGAGTAAAAAACCGACACCGTAGCCGAATACCGAAGTTCCCAGAATTCAAAACCGAAGCCAAAACGAAAAACCAACAGTTCGGTTCGGTTTCGGTTCGATTCGGTTCGGGGTACGGTTTTCGGTCTCAATGTGCCCAGGCTAAGGGAACAAGCGCTTGGAGTCGTCACAATCGCAAATGGTGTTTGTAAATGAAAGGTCTATGCTTCGTTTTCGATGTACATTCTTTTCTTTTTTTTCTTTTTTTTCTCTTTAATGAAAAGAAATACGTGAAGATATATGGTTAGGAAAAAGAAAAGAAAAAAAGAAAACAGAAAAGGCAGAGTTTTCTCCGTATCATATGCCGCGAATTGAAGGAACCTTCTTCTTTGTGGTGGCATCGTCAGGGGTGGCGTCACCGTGGACAATATTATATTATATTATACTAAAATAATTGCAGCTCATGTTCTTCAGCTGTAGACGAATTACATATTACTATATATAGTAGTGTTCCGAAAATATCTGATCTTAGACTGTCTTCAATAATAATGGTTAACCAAAATATAAGATCTATTTTACGTTTGGGAAGCGCTACAGGTAAATGGTTCAATACCTATTTTTGGTCTTCTTCAACAACAAGACCAAAAGAGAATCCTTTCTAAAAATAAATCTACAGAAGAGAGGATACTCAGATTTAGGTTACACGTCTCCCATCACCGGTCTTCCATGCTGACGCAAGGTGTTAGTTCGTTGTTGGCACTTTTTTTTTTATCATGTTCATCTGTTGACTGCGTGCATGCGAATGCCAATAGCCGCCGGCTGTCTCCTGTCGGCATCCAGTCAGTCTTTGTTGGCCTTGAATTGGAAGCAGCAGCTGCCTGCCTTCTTCCTCATTTGTTACCCTTTCCTTTCCTTTCCTGCCGCACAATAATTATACAATAATAATAGAGCAGAGCAGAGCAGATTGTGGTCCATAATCACTGCACTCCCCACTCTATAAATGGGCCTACTTCACTCCATTTCTCCTCGCTCACTCATCGCGTCAGCTGCTACAAAGAAATTAAAGCACATTAGACCACACCACCCATAGCCATGGAGCTCGCTAACAACAACAACGCCATTCCTCTGCTGACCCCCTACAAGATGGGCGAGTTCCAGCTCAACCACCGGGTGGTGCTGGCGCCGCTGACGCGGCAGCGCTCCTACGGCAACGTGCCGCAGCCGCACGCCGCCGTCTACTACGCGCAGCGCGCCACCCGTGGCGGGCTCCTCATCACGGAGGCGACGGGCGTCTCCGACACGGCGCAGGGCTACAAGGACACCCCCGGGGTGTGGACGCCCGAGCAGGTACGCGCGTGGCGGCCCATCGTGGACGCCGTCCACGCGAAAGGCGCCGTCTTCTTCTGCCAGCTCTGGCACGTCGGCCGCGTCTCCACCACCGCGTTCCAGCCCGGCGGCGCCGCGCCCATCTCCAGCACCGACCGCGGCGTGTCCCCGCAGGTCAGCCACGACGGGCACGTCGAGGAGTTCTCCCCGCCGCGGCGGCTGGAGGCGAGCGAGATCCCGGGTATCGTCGACGACTTCCGCCTTGCGGCGCGCAACGCGATCGACGCCGGCTTCGACGGCGTCGAGGTCCACGGCGCCAACGGGTACATCATCGAGCAGTTCCTCAAGGACAGCGCCAACGACCGCGACGACGAGTACGGCGGGTCGCTGGAGAACCGCTGCCGCTTCGCGCTCGAGGTCGTCCGCGCCGTCGCCGGCGAGGTCGGCGCGGGCCGCGTCGGCGTCCGCCTCTCGCCCTTCACGGACTACATGGACTGCCACGACTCCGACCCGGAGGCCCTGGCTGGGTACCTGGTGGAGAGGCTCAGCGACGTCGGCGTGCTCTACTGCCACATGATCGAGCCGCGGATGGCCATCGTCGACGGGCGCCGGCAGATCCCGCACCGCCTCCGCCCGTTCAGGGACGCGTTCCGAGGAACCTTCATCGCCGCCGGCGGGTACGACAGGGCGGAGGGGAACAAGGTGGTGGAGGAAGGGTACACGGACCTCGTCTCCTACGGCAGGCTGTTCCTCGCCAACCCGGACCTGCCCCGGAGGCTCCGCCTCCCCGACGCGCCGCTCAACAAGTACGACCGCACCACCTTCTACACCTCCGACCCCGTGGTCGGATACACCGACTACCCGTTCCTCGACGACGACGCTGACAAATAAATGATCTATCAATGTCGCCTACGCCGCGCCGCCCTCCCCGTGCATCCCTCCCTCGGTCACATACGTCTCCAGTTCCACCTTTTGCTGCCTCGATCGTGTTGTGCTCTGCAGATGCTTCCTCCCTGCTGTATTGTATTCAGCCAATTTATAGTACATGGCAGTGGCCGGCAAGGGGTGCAAATAAAATTAAGCTTAACCTGCCCAGTAATCTTCCAAGGGAATTATTAATTATATATTTCAGGCAGAGAAATAGCATCTCCACCTCAGACTTCTCTGCAGTCTATCTATCTTCTTCAACCTACTACAAGTACGAGACCATAAGAAAAAATGGGAACCAATTTACACTCCTTTTTCCCCCCTCCAAAGTCCAAACTAGGTGGCCAGTTTTTTCCTCCACCAACTCAGTTTTTTTTTCCCAAACAGAACAGGTGCTCGAAGCATCAGGGAAGGGAACAGAGCAAAATTCGAAAAACAGAAGAAAAGAAAGAAAGAAATCAGCTGAGGGAAATGGGCCACATGGACACACATCTTTTGTCGCATGTTCTGGCGATATCAGGCCCAGGACACTAAATGATCTTGCTGATGGCCCAGTCACAAAATGGGCTGGCTGCCGGCTAAACAAATTAGGGCCCATTTTCAGCTTTCTTTGTCCACGAAAAATGGTGCCTGCGTTGGGCAATTTGATTGACGATGGATACCATTACACGGCAATCATGATCCACAGATACTGAAACCTAGAACAACAAGAAGGAATCGCACAGTGCTTTCCGACCTTAAAATCTTGTATCAATGAAGAGAAAGATACAAAACTCATAATACACTCTTTCAAACCTGTATACTGTGAACTGAGTGTAGCTTAGATGATTGGCTTTCTTGTGTGGTGGAACGTCCACCCAAGTTTCTGAATTTGGCGACGTTAGTTGTTCTTTGAGCCGTAGATGTCGTGCTTGTCGACAACAAGGTGTGCCAATGGTCTCAGAAGCGCGTGGTCAACATATTATTATTAGGTGTGGACTTTTTGTAATGTAGCCCCCTATGTATAGGTAGCATACCAATTTAGGACTGAATCCACCAACTCATCCCTTGACATGTACATTGGCCATCTACAACCCAACGCCTCAATGCAAAATCCAGTGCTACCACCATCTTCTGTGCAGGCGTCGTCACTGCATCCTCTCTACTAGAACCCTAGGCCAAATCTTTCTAAGCCCATGCACCCCCAAGTACCTACTATGATGTCGGCCATGAGTCCTTGTTCCTTGCACCCACTTGCGTCACCTCCATTTTGGATCCATCGGGGTTCTCAAGTATGGGATGATAAGTAGGCTACCCCTTGTCCCTTGTATAAATGATGCGGCGACGATGTCATTAAGCTCACATGCGGTACATAGTTCCTCTCAAGTTCGAGGACATATTTTCTTCAAGTGCCGCCTCTATGAGAGAAATATAAGTCTTCTTCAATTAATGTCATTTTTTTTTGCAGTGTGTGCGTGCTGCACACTGATGAACCACAGCAACTTGGGCTGGGAGGTCTTTGCTAGCATTAAAAAATGATTAATTTCAATGATTACTACGTTTTAGGTGGCACGAACTTGCCCTTTCTACTTGTTTGCTGACAAGTATCAAAAGTGGCTACTGCAAAGTAGGTACATTGGATATTTAGCTAGAAGGATGGACCTTGCTGTTTCTGAGATTCCAGCTTGAGGGATCGACCAACAAATCAGCCAAGGAGGGTCATTGCTAACGATCTCTGTGCCCGTCGACCCCTCCTCTTTCCCACAGGCAACACACTCAAGGAGATATGGGAATGGTTGTGTGAGGGGAGGGTACAAGGACCTTTCTGCAATTTGTTGACCACGTGCCCCTCGGTGACAATGATATGGCCGGATGGCAGCTATGGTACCGGTATAGATCCTCGATCAGATGTGCAAACAAAAAGTTGATGGACCTAGGTGGAAGGTGAAAAAGGTTTAAGAATGCACACCACAATTAACTCAGAAATAAATTTGCCGGAGTGTGTATCAGATGGCTCAACAAAACTTGCATGCATTGTACCCCTGGTACTGATGAAAATAGGTATATGGTAGTAGCAGGTAGTAGGTACAGTGCGAATTAGTTTTTTTTTAGGGGATACAGTACGAATTAGGTGAAGCAGGAAGTTGCGACAAGTGTTCCAGTAAAATGTTGTGCTGCTTATATTATTATTTGCGGCCTTGCGGGGGTAGAAAATTAAGACATGCGCGTAGTATAATAGGCCTGTGAACGAAGAGAGAAACAATAAACATCACATGCACACATGTGATGTGTTGCACAAATGATATGTTGGCTGGGCCCTACATATGCATGTTGCATGCTATGTGAACGACGTGGACGCGCACAAAAGATAATAAGGGCGACCTTGACTCGGCCCGGCCTAGCCACTCGTTTGCGCACGCGACTTGTATGGCCTTTTTTTAATTTACCGCCTGAAACGAATTTTCATTTCTTCTATGGCCTTCCGTCTGTTTTGGGCACTTGACGGTGTTAAGTCTAGGGTAAAATAACCATTATACCCCTGGTGGAAAAAATAATCTTTGAGTTTTATTTGTCCATTTGTACATTTGGAGAAATATTACATAAATGAATTCACATATAACTTGAGTACATAATACGACACATAATCTAGTACACAAATACATTGCAATAAAGCGAGCTTATCAAATGCATAAAAATTGCACAAATGCATTGCAATTAACCATAGATTGACACATAAATTGTTCACAAATTCACCATAATTTCAGTCTCAGATAAATAAGGTCACACAAAAGTACGATTTCAAACATACATTGGTCTCCATACAACGAGCGAATTCAATATGCATATCACAAATCAAAGGCTGAGCCTTCTTTTGCTTCGCGTGCTCATGGCAGGGCTGCTAGGAAGTCCTGTCTTGCTTCTTGTACCCATCGATGGGCTATCAAGTGGCACCTTCGGAATGTCTACGTCTTTTTTCTTTAGATGGCCTAGCTGCTTCTTGATGGGTTTCAGCTTCCCAAAAACATACCAAAACTCGCAAGCTTCCAGGGCGACTTCATCATCTGAATCTTTATTAGCTTGCAGGATCAATTCAGTAGCATTTCTAAGATGTGGCTGCAGTTTCGATATCCAATGTTAGATCCAGTACGTCAAGGGAATAAGCAAACCAATACGAGTCATCAAGGCAAAAATTGTGTAGATCATCAGAAAAATTGTCCATCGATCCTGCTGGGAGTTGGTTCTCTCAACATCTAGCAGCGAGCCAAAGAACTTGAGTTTCCCAGGTAGGCTGTCCAGATGAGCTTGGGGCATTGGAGAACTGGATCCTGCTGGGCATCAAGGGCAAGGTAGGCGCCTCTGCTCGTGAAGAGGGGCGAGATGGGAAGGTTCAGGCATCTAACATCAGGAGAATTATTGAGGTTGACATGCATCAGAGCAATTCATCAGAAGCTTGGTGGGTTTGACATGGTTGAAAAAGAGTTTCCACACCGGTAGCAAGGGAGGCAAGCGGACTGTGGGAGAAGAGGGCTGGGAACAAGGAGGCGAAGTTTGAAGAACCGAGCCAGGTGTCCAACCAGAAAGAAGTCAAGTTCCCATTGCCGACGGCCACATTGATGATGCGCCAAAGCCGTCGGAGCTCTTCATGAATAATATAATATGATCATGGAAGGAGATCGGTTTGCCATCACAGAGGTGAGAGGTGGAGTGACGCATGAGCCACGACTTCCAGGGAAGAGTGTCCGGGCCAATAAACTTGTGGACCAGCTCCATGAGGAGACAGTGGCTTTGGTCCTCAATGTTCCTGACGCCGAGAAGAGAACCCCAGCGGCTTTGGAGAGGCACACGTCCCAAGCAACTAGCATTGGGAGCCATGGCACTTGTCGTTCCTAGTCCAGAAGAAGGCATGTCCTGATTGTCTTAGGGAGGAAGAGGGCAAAGCATGTAATGTATGGAGAGGCTGAGCCGCCCGAACTAAGGAGCTTGGCCTTGCAGCCGACAAGGGAGGCGATTACTTGAAATAAGTAGAAAATGTGGATTTTTTAAGCCCGTAGCAATGCATTCTAGTTTTTTTATAAAGAGAGAATTGATACTGTATTGTATTTTCTATTAAAAAACATGGTTATAGCTGTAGGCAGGGCCTCGGCTTGGGCCAAGCGGAAGAGGGGCGAGCTGGGCCACGGGAACGAGAGGGAGGCGAGCTGGGCTGCGGCTTTGCTGGGCCAGAGGGCGGAGGTAGGCCAAGGCCCAAGTGGTGGCTAGGCTGCGGGGTAAGGAGGGCGCGACCTGGGCTGCACGCTACTGGGCCAGCCAGGAGAGGAGAAGGGATTGGGTTGGGCTCGTGGAGAAGTGAAAAAAGGAAAATGATATTGGGTTCTCCTTTTATGATTTGTCAATTTGAGTCAAGGAATTCAAGAGAGATTCCTCAAAAAAAAAAAAAAGATTTGATATGAATTCAAAAAGGGGATAAGGGGAAAAAGGAAAAAGGTTTTTTCCTTTTACGATTAAGGAATTTGAGATAGATTGAAAAAGGGATTGAAGGGAATTGCTACGGATTTGTGCTTTCAAAACAAACTCACACCTGACACCGACACTCTCCTACAAACAAATCCACCTGAATGCAACAATTTATTTATAAATTGACCTAGGTTTGACCTAGCGACTACATGATTCACACATTGCAGGAAAACTTTTAAAATGTTCGAATTTTTTGGTTTGCGCAAAAATTCAGGATGTTACAGCCGAGATCAATACCAAGTTGTGAGGTCCGCAGGAGAAAAAGAAAAGATCGACTTCCACCGTATCGATCGGATCTGACCTGATTCTGTAGCAAAGCATGGAAAATTGGCCTGCATATCACAAACAAAAGCAATCTACAGAGCCATGCATGCATACGGGAATAAATTTCCTTACTGCTAATGCACGGCTTTCATCAGCATGAGATCAACAATGATAGCTTCTCCGTGTGCACCACTGAGATTCTTGGA